GTAAAGATATGACATACCACCAAAAAGCCTGTCATAACATTCAGGCTCATGTGACATGGGGCTTATTCTAATCTGTGAGCTAAACCTAAATAAGTCTATGTGCCTTTCTTTTTAGCATTGGCGCAGTTCGTGCAGTTTTCCTTCATTCATCAGCTAGTATTGGAAAGACTGCACTGATAGAGTCATTAATAAAAGACTGGTCCTGTAGTGCAGAGAAAAGAGCAACAGGGAATATTTATTCATTGGTCCAATCAATTGGTATTGCACAGTGGCAAAGACTGCAATCCTGCACCCACTTACCTGGGAGCACATTTAAAGCATTCTCCCCTGCAGTTAATAATAATGATGACTGGAACTGTAGTTTGATAAGGATGCTGTAATTTTAGCTCTGTAAGGGATAAACTCTTTCCCTCTGTGTGTGTGTGTGTCTGTGTCTGTGTGCTTTTAATATATGATGCATATCCAGCCAAACTCTGTGGGACTTAACTTCTGAGTAGACACATGTAGGATTGTGCAGCAGTGGTGTAGCGTGGGTTGTCAGCACCCGGGGCAAGGCAAGTAATTTGCGCCCCCTAACCCGTGGATTTGTGCCCCCTAACCCGTGGATTTGCGCCCCCTAACCCTAACCCCCAGATGTTGCGCCCGGTGCGGCCGGCCCCCCCTGCACCCCCCACGCTACGCCACTGTTGTGCAGTAATAACCACAGAGGTATTTCACCTCTGATTCTCAACTGAACTTTACACACCCCAGGTTTGAATCATCTGTATTGAAATTAATATTACCGTAACATGACTGAAACTACTGAACTAAATCGAAACCGCAACTGAACACCTTCAACTTGTTTTGGTGGTGGACTGATCCAGTGTTGCACCCCTTAAATGTCACAAACATCAGAACTTGGGTAAATCAGCGGAGTCCCTATTCGGCAGCATCTCTGCAGAGGCTGAGTCAGGTGTGTGCGAATGTGAGCCGGCTAGTCCTTGATTCCAAATCTCGGTTCAGACCCAAACACAGAATGTGATCTTAAAGGAGCCACCATTATCTTAGTCAGCAATCCTCCCCAGTCTGGGTTATTGGGGATAGTAATACTGCCTAAACTCACAGGGCGGTTGTGCAAGGTTTATTGGGACAATTCCAGATCTCAGCACAGCACCCATCCCAGATGTCAAACATTAGCAGTATTATCTGCCTATATGACACTGTTGTAGTGCTGTCGTTACTTGTTTAAAGAGCGCCCCACAAAACGATAATTTCACAAAAATAAAGCAAGCAGGTCTCCCTGCCCCAAGGAGCTTATAATCTAAAAATAAGACAAGGAGGAGATAGCAAAGCAGGGGATATAGGACAAGAATATGAGGATTGTGGGCAATAACCCACTTAAATATGAAAAGACAAATAATGATTGTTTCTATGTTTAGACAATATTTTTATAGTTTTAAGTGTGATAAATAAGTTACTGGGGATAACAGGAAAATATTATGGTTGCTGTTTTTGAAACAGGAGAAAGATGGGAATGTTGGGATAACACTATATTTGTTTGATTTGATTTTTGAAGCTGTTAGTAGTTACATACTTTTTACTTGCTGGTTTTCAGGTGGATGAGCTATTATACTGGAGGTATTACTAAGTGTTCTCCTCTGCAAACTTGAGAACCCTGTATTTGAAAAGGGACTCATGGCACATAAATACCCAAAGAATGAACTGCATTTTGAAGATTAATCTTTTAATGAGTGCAATTTGCAACAGTCAATCCCTCTTCTCAGGGAACTTGGAATTGTTGCCCTGCAAGGGGAATAGAGATTTCTCAGCATCCATAAAGGTAAAGGTACCCCTGACCATTAGGTCCAGTTGTGACCGACTCTGGGGTTGCGTGCTCATCTCGCTCTATGGGCCGAGGGAGCCGGCGTTTGTCCGCAGACAGCTTCCGGGTCATGTGGCCAGCATGACTAAGCCGCTTCTGGTGAACCAGAGCAGCGCACGGAAACGCCGTTTACCTTCCCGCCAGAGCGGTTCCTATTTATCTACTTGCACTTTGATGTGCTTTCAAACTGCTAGGTTGGCAGGAGCTGGGACCGAGCAACGGGAGCTCACCCCATCGCGGGGATTCGAACCGCCGACCTTCTGATCAGCAAGTCCTAGGTTCTGTGGTTTAACTCACAGCGCCACCCGCGTCCCCTCAGCATCCATAGCAAGCGACAATTCTCAGGTTTCATCTGGGGCAGTCATGACTGTTTAAATTGGTATGGTTTTGCTTTAACTGTATAGTGCAGATGGGACCTACTGGGGAGTAAGTTCCACCATGTTCCATGGGACCTAGAACCACCCATTATTTTGACAAATGTGTTTCTCAAGGGAATCTGTGAGCAAGTGGCAGGGGTGCTTAACTCTGACCAGAGAAAACACATTAAAAATACAACCTATGTTCTTTGTAACAGAAACAGATACAGGGTATATTCACAAAATCACTTTCTCCGCATCCAGTGTGCTCCCACTGATAATTTTAGAAGTCCCATTCACATGATGTTAGACATAGTACACATCGATCCTATAGCTTCTTAACGAATATTGCTGTGTGACGCATTCCCCCCCCCTCAAACCAGCTTCAATCCAATTAGAAAATTTGATGTGGAGTAAGTGATAATGTGAACATACCCTAAGAGACATTGCATGTCCGTTCCCCCTCTCTGATGTGAACACCATGCAAATATGGCTTGAAACACAGCGGGGGCGAAATGGCCTCACTGCATTTCAGGCTAATAATATGGGCAGGCTCATAGTGATTTTAGCTGTCCCACCTCTGTTCCCTTCCAGCCTTGCCCTGACTTCCCGATCGCAAAATAAAGTGTGGAGAAGTCAATACAGAGTTTCAGTGACCTCTGCAGATGTTGCAAACAAATCCTGATGTTACCAATTCTGGCGACCTTGGAGTGTGCCACCACGGCTATATGTTAATAGAACAGAAACAAAAAAAACAACCCATTGAAATTCACATTATCAACTTGGAGCATTCATTTGGATAATGCTAGCTGTGAACGTGGGAGCAGGCCTAGCTCTAGCTCCCTGCACTTTGAGGATGGCCTTGGGCAAGGTGACTTCCGGCAGCTCAAGCAATTCCCTGTCTTTGCTTTGGGAAGGGGGAAAAAGCACATATACAGATAAGACATTTTGCTGCTTGCGGAGGAGCAGCAAATCACAACACACACACACAGAGAAACATGGGCTGGACAAAATCATCCAACTACCCCTCTCTCTGGAGAAAAATGCAGCAAGAAACTTAGTAAATAATCTTTGGCGGCCCTTCCATGGTACTCCAAACCACCCTGCCTAATGGTAGGACATGTGTTGATTGTAAACCGGTGTTTTCCTTACTTTTAATGCCTGACATGCATTATTCTTTTTAAATTCAGAAACAGATACACACTTTGCTTTTACATCTGAGAAAGATTTATTTTTTACAGTGTTTGAATGCATCCTCTGCAGAAGAAAACTAAATCAGAGTGGTTAATGATTCCTCCTCCTCCATAATTGTGGGCTCATAAGAACATTTGCCGTATTTTTTGCTCTGTAAGACTCACTTTTTCCCTCCTAAAAGTAAGGGGAAATGTGTGTGCATCCTATGGAGCGAATGCAGGCTGCGCAGCTATAACAGAAGCCAGAACAGCAAGAGGGATTGCTGCTTTCACTGCGCAGAGATCCCTCTTGCTGTTCTGGCTTCTGAGATTCAGAATATTTTTTTTTCTTGTTTTCCTCCTCCAAAAACTAGGTGCGTCTTGTGGTCTGGTGCGTCTTATAGAGCGAAAAATATGGTATTCTTACTTATAGTAGGCCAATGTGCTGTGGTGGTTTGGGAATTGCCCCTGAAAACCCTTGGTGTGACAGAGGAGGGTGGCACTTCCTGTTTTGCCCTAAGTGGCAAAAGGGGACATACCACCCCTGACCTCAGGATTCCAGAACTTACACCTGTCAGTTCTGAGGAAAGGCAGGCAAGGACCCACAGCCCAGATGTGGCTCGCTAGGTTGGGGAGGAGTTGCCTGATTCCTCAGCTGGAGTAGGCTCAGGCCAAGTGGGGGTCACATGCCTCATCAAGCCCAGAAGGTGTAACAGGCCTGGGTCCTGGCCAGGCAAGGTGGGGCTTGCTAGCCCTGGAAGGAGGTGGGCCAGGCCAGCTCAGCTCTCTTGACGGATAATTTGAGTTCTGGCTGCAAGAAAAAAAGCCCTGCCTGTAGTGATGTTTTGCTGGGTGCTATCTCCCTCCATGCTTCTACTTCCATTTTGTTTCCATCAGCCCAAAGGACAGGCTGCAGTCTGCCTTTCTCCACAACCAGCTGCTCAAGGCACATTTGTTGTTATTTCCATTTTTACAATCAAAACAGCTCTTTTGCACAGATATATGCATGCGCACAAAAGAGGAGTATTAAAAAACAAAAAGTTTCCCTTGCAGGTGGACTGATTCCGCGTTTCACCCGTGGAGTTATCACAGCCAACGGCGGAGCTAGCTTGCATGCATTAGCCGAGCCCGTTTGACAGCGTCTCGCTGCAAAGGTTAATTCGTATGCTCGTTTAAAAGCAAAAGTTCTCACTATGCAATGATACGCAAAGGTTAAGGGCGGGCAGGTACGCCGGGGGGGGGGTCAAGGGCAACTGCAACATCGGGCAGTAGGCGGGCAGGAGCAAGCAAGGGCGGGAGAGGCCCGTCTCCCGCCCGACGGGTAGGGCGCGGTGCCTTGTGGGATACGTAGTCTCAGCTGGTAGCTTCTCGCGGAGGCCTCGCTGGGCCCGAGGACTACATTTCCCGGCAGCGTCGGGCTTCCCACGCTCCTCCTCGTGGGCGGGTGAGTAAAAGGGAGAAAAGCGGCGCAGGTTGTCACGTTTTGTTTATCGCCGGAGCCCCGCCCCCTGCTACCTCACGAGGGATGGCGTCACCCCCCCTCCTCATGAATATTGAGAAGGCGTTGCTAATAGAGGGAACTGGGAGGCGGGGTGCAAGAGACGAAAAATCGCGCCGCTCCGACGAGGCCTGCTGCAATTAATATTCATAAGGAGCCTCCGAAGTGGAGGCCGGGCCGGGTGGGAGGGAGGAGGAGGAGGAGGCGGTGGCTGCTTGCTCGCTCGCTTGCTGCTGCTCCTGATCCTCCCCCCACCCTCCAGTCCCTAATGGCGCTGGCAGCAGCTGCGCGGCGGCGGCGGCGGGCTTGAGCCGAATGGAACGCGGCGACAGCGACGGAATGTTCGCAGTTGCTACATAATCGCGCCCCCCCCGCCCCCCGCCCGCCGCTTTGGAACGCGGCGTGTCTCCGCGTTCCACAATGGAACCTGCGCAGCAACCTCAGCGCGGGAGCAGGGCAGCGGCGGCTGCCCCGACGGCCGGCAAGCGGGAGCGGCCCGGCTACGCGGGCCAGGCCGGCACCGAGGGCCCGCTGAGAAGCGGCGAGGCAGCAGCAGCCGTTGCTGTCGCAGCAGCAGCAGAGGGTGTAGCCGGGGGCGGCCCGCAGCGGCGAAGGAGGCGAGGGGCCGTGGCTGGAGCCGGCGGCGGCGCGGCTTCCCTCACGCTGGCGGCCAACGGGACTCCGGCAGCGGCCGTCCCCAGCAGCGGCGGCGCCAACTCGCTTCTGCTGCGGAGGGGCAGGCTGAAAAGGAACCTCTCGGCCGCCGCCTCCTCGTCGTCGTCGTCGTCGTCTTCCTCCTCGGCCGCCGCCGCCGCCGCTGCCGCCTCGCTGGGCACCCGCAGCCTGGATCGGAAGGCGCTGCTTCTGCTGCCCAAGCCGCCCCGGCAGCTCCAGCCTCTGCAGCCGCCGGAGCGGGACTGGGTGCGACGGGACCTCCAGCGGGGATGCGTCCATGTCTACTACTACCACCACCACCACCATCACCAGCAGCGAGGGGGCGGCGGCGGCTGCTACCTGCGGCCGGTGCTTTGCACCTTGGAGACGACGGCGGCCGAGGTGGCGTCGCGGTTGTTACAGCTCGGGCACCGTGGAGCGGGCAGCAGCGCCGTCCGGGTCTTGGGGAAGGCGGCGGCGGCGGCAGCAACCACCGCAGAGGCGCGCGGCCCCCATGAAGAAGAAGGGGAGGAAGAGGAGGAAGAAGAGGAGGAGGATGAAGGAGAAATGGACGGCGATTTTGCGGCAGACCCATCCGCCGAGCCCGGGGGAGCAGAAGAGGCGCTGCCCGGCCCCGCGGAGGCTTCGACTTGCCCAGCTGGCAGCCTGACCCCGATACCGGCCGGGAGGAGGCCGCGAAACCGTCGGGGGACCCCCAGCGGTTTGGGGGGCGGCGGCGAGGCGGCTCCCCGACCGGGGCGTTTGGCTCTCGGCGGCGGGGAGAACGGCCGCGCAGGTGGGCGCCCCTGCCTGTCGCCCTCCGACTGCAGCCCCGGGCGGGCCTTTCCTCCTCTGCCACCTGCGCAGCTCTACCTATCGGGCCCGCCGCTCTCCTGCCCGTCCCTCCTGGGGGGCTCGGACACGGAGAGCTTCAGCCCCAGCGCGGAGAGCACCTCGGACCGGCTGGACGCCTACAGCGGCGGCGGCGGCTCCTCGTCTTCGTCGGAGGAGTTAGAGGCGGACCCTCCTCCTCCTGGGCCGGCAACGGCAGAGGGGGAAGGGGCCGGATCGGGGCCTGGCAGGAGCCGCCGGGCCCGCCTGGGCGGCCTGCCGTCGGCGCACGCGGAGAACCCCCGGGGGGGCAGAGCCGCGGGGGAGTCCCCCGGCGTGGGGAAGGCGCCGGGAGGGGATCCCTCTTCCGCCGGGGATGCCGCCGACGCCTCCTCCCCGCGGCAGCCTCCGGCCTTGTACGTGCAGCTGCATGGGGAGACCGCCCGCCGGCTGGAGCCTCACGAGCAGCCCTTGCAGGTCCAAAACGACTACCTCTCGCAGCTGGGCTTCCGGGACCTGTGGCGGGTGCAGGAGGAGGGCATGGACTCAGAGACCGGCTGCCTCATCCGCTTCTATGCAGGTGGGTGAGGAAGGAATTATGTATGAAGGGGTGTGGGTGTGTGAAAGGCGCGCACGCTTGTTTTCGTGTTCACAGGACAGTGTGGATGCTATCCAAGCTACTACACCCTTGGTGCCCTTACTCAGAAATGAGGGTGTGCTGCAGAAATGGAGAAAATGTGAAGTAGAACTGGATCTTATACTCTGGTCTCTGTTCCCTAACTGCAGGTTAATTGATGTTGTGAGCAAAACACACACACAGGTGCATGAATTAAAGGCCTGTGTGTGGGAGGTTTGGGGAGAGGGGTGTGATCACATCTTGCAACCCACAGTGGTGGCAAATACTTCCAGGCCTTGGGATTGTCATGCTCTGGGAACTTTCCAGTGGAGGTCAGAAGTTTTGGGATTCTGACACCATTCAGTCATTTTCCCAGTCATTTTATCTGAATAAGGGTGCATGCACACGAAAGCTCATGCCAAGAACAAACTTAGTTGATCTCTAAGGTGCTACTGGACAATTTTTTAAAATATATTTCTACTGCGTCAGACCAACAAGGCTACCTACCTGAATCTAGAGTCATTTCCCCCAGTCTGTTTTATAGCTGGGTAATGGCCTTGGGGGGGTTGCAAAAGGGGTGTTTGGGGAGGACCTAATGGAAACTGTAGCTCAGCTCACCTTGAAACCTGTTTGCTGCTTAAGTGCTCTTCAGGTACATCAGGCTAACATGGAAAGGTTGTCCTCTGGGTCTTCCTTTATGCTACAGTCTTAGAACAATATATATGCTGGAGGTTAGGTCCTTTGAAATTGGTGGGTTTTTGCTTCCACGTAAACATGCTTGGAATCGGAATACCATTGTGTAGAAGCATTTTCTCCCCCTTCTCTGTTCACCTTAAAAAAGCTACTCAGAGGAATCATTGTGCTTCTTAGCTGTTTTGTTCAGCTACCTCTGATAGGATCAAGTGGCTATTTTACAAGTACCTGCTGTAGCAAAAATAAAAAGGCTGAATCTAGGCAGATGGAAAGAGGGGGTTATCTCCTCTTAACAAGAATTGTCATCATTTTTCCAGGGCAAATTTGCATGTATGGTATATTAATGAAATATCACATGTCTTACTCTGCTGAGTACACAATGTATGGTTCTCTACCTATTTGTAATGGGGTGGGCATCTAGATCTAAGGCCAAGATCCAGAGTGTGTTCAACCAGTGGACTCCATGATATATGTATGGGATTGTGTTTTCCTTACATAGTTGTGGGAGCGAGTCCAATGAAGTCTATGAGATTTATCTACACTTAGCATGGTTTAAGATTGGCTTCTCAATATAGACTGAAGACAGGCTTTTGTCTTGGTGCCTGGACTTGGTCAATAACAGCACCCAAAAGTTCCTGTCTTGCCAACAACATTTATATTAGTGTTGCATGTTTAACTGCCATATAGATTTCCTTTACTGCTTGAAAATGTGCACATAGGAAGGTGAGTCATGCTTTGAATGACCTTTCGGATGAGAGGAGGAGCTCTGGGCTGTGCCATAATTGATCTTTCTGTTAAGGCGCTGTAGTTTCAGGGTTAAATTGGATGCCCTGTGTTTCGTTTTTGGGCGAAGCTCTCTTTCCTTGTATCGCTTGTTCCGTACAAAATGTGGGAAAGCTGCAAAGCTTGGACCCACCTGAGTGAGCTGAGCTGTCTCCAGACAGAAGCATTTTTTCAGCTTTTCCATTTCAGTTTTTAAATACGCTTTGCTTTCTTTGACTGTCAGGCAGGCCTGATATCGCAGAAGCCAAATGTAGCCCAACAGCCCCTTTTTGTCCATATTGTGAGCTGTTCAATCACCATTCCTACCATTTGCCATCCTGGACAGGTGGCCAAACGAGACCCTGGCTGAGCTGTCTTCAGCTTGAATGCGTAACAGTTGTATAAGCCAGCTTTTAAGGAAATGTTTTGCTGGTCTATGTAGGCCGAGAATAGTTGTAGAGGAACAGGAGCTGAAGACAGCCTTGGGTCCAAGTTTCTATTGTGTGTGAGTGGCATGGATAGAATCCATACATTTGAAATCTAAATATGGCCTTGTATGTTGCTGCTTCTCTTCGTAAGCAGGTAAAAGTACGTACTGGCTATTCTGTAATCTTTATTATTATTATTATTATTATTATTATTAATGCAGCATTTCTCATCCTGATGACTTCCATATCTTTTGGACTCCAACTCCCATCAATCCCAGCTAGTTTAACCAATAGTTGGGGATGATGGGAGTTGTAGTCTTGTAACATAAGGGGCGGATGAAGTTGGTGAAGGTCAATTGAATGTAATGAGAGTCAGTGGAACTAAGACTAGAGACACCCAGGTTCAAATAGCTGCTTAGCAGGGAAGCTCACTGGGTGATCTTGGACCAGCCTTCTCAGGCTAATCTACTTTACAAGGTTGTTGCCTGTAAACAGGCATGTTCCCCCTGTCATGCAAATAATTCTCCTCTAGCAATTGTCACAATCATGGTGTGATAATAAGCAGTTGTGTTTGCAAGCTATCTTAGTAGCTATTGTAGACTTGAATGTGATTATTATTTTTTGTGCCGTATGTAAAATCCTTTGCCTCTTAAAGACTTGCCAAATTGAGCCCTGGGGGAGACGAGAAGATAGCTGGGCGAATACACAGAAAATAACTTAAATTGAGCATGTTAAATCAACTGGGTTATGAATGGATGTTCACTACCTTGGTGCCGTGTTTGAAATTAGCCAGGCGCCAGGTGCGTTTTGCGACTGGCGCGGGTCCAGTCGCGACCACATGGAGGAGATCACTGGATGCCAGGTTTGAACTGACATCTCCATCTGGCTGGCCCCTCCAGCTATCTTAAGCAGGTAATCAGATGATCTTATTTGTTGCAATTATATCCCACTTTTTTCTCCAAGGAGCACATGGTTCATTCCCTTCCTCCGTTAGCTCCTACAAGGACCCTGTGAAATAGGTTAGGCTGTTACTGGACCAAGGTCACCCAATGAGGTTCAGGACTGGGTGGGGAAATGAACCCTGATCTCCCAGGTCCTAGTCTTAACCACCGCACCAGACTGGCTTCCTAGAGTTCTTCTGCAAATTAAGCTCTATAAATTAAGTAGGTACATAAATATGGGGAAAACAAAATGTCACTTAGAGAAGCACCTGAAATATTTTCCTTAAAGCTTGAATTTTTGTTAGTCTGGATTGTTTTATTTGATTTTGAACGTGTTATGAACCACTTTTGAGGGTTTCCCCCCTTTAAAATATAAATGAAATTAATAATAGAAATGAAATTAATAATAATAAATGTCATTGCAAAAAAAAAGGCACCTAGACATTCCGTTGTGGCAACTGTAACCTAGGTTTAAGGTGCAATTTGGCGATTAGCTTATATATCTGAGTTTCTAACACTGCCTTCATGTATTTTCAAACCTTGTAGAGGGAACCTTGGCTGCAGGTAGGGGTAGCTGATGCAAAGCAGTTCATCCAAGCAGTGCCCTTTGGAAGTACTAAAAAGCTTGGATTTCAGTAACTGTACCTGCAAAAATTCCCTCTACCTGTGTATTGAAGGTTCATAAGTCCTGTTCTTATTTGAGTCTTCTATGAGGAGGTGATGCTGTTTAACTGGCCCATTTACAACTCGCTTAAAATATCTGCTTCCCAGGGGCTTGTGTGTGCAGCGTTTTTTGTTTCTTTATTTCTTTTTACTCCCTTGCTTGCTCTACAAAGAATTTGCTGCAAATTATTGTTTGCCGTTAGGTAGTTCCAAGCAGGATTTTAAAGCTGTGGCTGGAGGCAATCCCCCAGATTTTAAGTGAGACTCCACGGGTGTGTGTGTGTGGGGGTGAGGAATACAAGTACTCTAGGGCAGGGGTCAGCAACCTTTTTCAGCCATGGGCTGGTCCAACGTCCCTCACACCATGTGGGGGGCTGGAGTATATTTTGAAAAAAAAAATTTGAACGAATTCCTATGCCCCACAAATAACCCAGAGATGCATTTTAAATAAAAGCACACATTCTACTCATGTAAAAACACCAGGCAGGCCCCACAAATAACACAGAGATGCATGTTAAATAAAAGGACACATTCAAAAGGTAAAGGGACCCCTGACCATTAGGTCCAGTCGTGGCCGACTCTGGGGTTGCGACGCTCATCTCGCTTTATTGGCCGAGGGAGCCGGCGTACAGCTTCCGGGTCATGTGGCCAGCATGACTAAGCCGCTTCTGGCGAACCAGAGCAGTGCACAGAAACGCCGTTTACCTTCCCGCTGGAGTGGTACCTATTTATCTACTTGCACTTTGACGTGCTTTTGAACTGCTAGGTTGGCAGGAGCAAGGGCCGAGCAATGGGAGCTCACCCAGTCGTGGGGATTCAAACCTCCGACCTTCTGATTGGCAAGCCCTAGGCTCTGTGGTTTAGCCCACAGTCATGTAAAAACATGCTGATTCCTGGACCGTCCGCGGGCCGAATTGAGAAGGTGATTGGGCCGCATCCGGCCCACGGGCCTTAGGTTGCCTACCCCTGCTCTAGGGTAAGCGTTGTTGTTGTTTAGTCGTTTAGTCGTGTCCGACTCTTTGTGACCCCATGGACCAGAGCACACCAGGCACTCCTGTCTTCCACTGCCTCCCGCAGTTTGGTCAAACTCATGCTGGTAGCTTCGAGAACACTGTCCAACCATCTCGTCCTCTGTCGTCCCCTTCTCCTTGTGCCTTCCATCTTTCCCAACATCAGGGTCTTTTCCAGGGAGTCTTCTCTTCTCATGAGGTGGCCAAAGTATTGGAGCCTCAGCTTCACGATCTGTCCTTCCAGTGAGCACTCAGGGCTGATTTCCTTCAGAATGGATAGGTTTGATCTTGTTGCAGTCCATGGGACTATCAAGAGGCTCCTCCAGCACCATAATTCAAAAGCACCAATTCTTTGGCGATCAGCCTTCTTAATGGTCCAGCTCTCACTTCCATACATCACTACTGGGAAAACCATAGCTTTAACTATACGGACCTTTGTTGGCAAAGGGTAAGCATAGCATGAGTTT